TACTCTACCACAAGTATCAGAGTCACTAAAATTAGAATTTGTGAATTTTAAGTTTTCTTCATAATAAATAATAAAAAAAAATTGCTTCATAAAAATAATGGTGGCTGCCATGGTACTGCACTGGTGAAGCAAGTATATAATGTCTTTATAAATATGGAGCCTGAGCTCGATCCATTCTGATTTAATCTGCCTAATTGAAGCTGTGTCCCCAAAGGCAGATGTTTTAATGCTGGGAAATGCTATACCCTACCAAGCAGGACTCTGCTGGTGTTGGAGTTGTAGCAGTCAAATATTTTAAAGTAAATATATATATATTTTAATATATAAATTTAAATTTATTAAAATAAAAAGCACCATATACTGGCAGCATTTATCATATTAAACCGCTCTTTTTGTAGCTAATCCTATAAAATAATTATATATTTAAAATGTTATTCCAAGTTTTAATTCTTAAAACTCTTGTGTTTGAATTTACATATGTCTTAAATTCTGTCAAACCTGAAATATTTAAATACAATCCCAAGATAGTTTGACTCTTTTTCAAATCTTCTGTGTGCAATACTCTACTTAGAGTTGTCATCCATTATAAAGATGCAAAGATTTCTCATGTCTCTGTGGTACGTGCACAGCATGATTTTGAATTCTCCTAAATGAAGCAATTAAAATAATTTATCCTTTTATGTAATAGCAGTACTGAAACCACACATAAGTGTATGTTCTCAATACTCACATCAATCTTAATAAATCTGCAGAGCTTCTTAGAATCTCCTCCAAGAGACGTGTTCAGTAAATCTGCTGTCAGTTTGAGTGGAGGAAACTGGGACACAGGAACTTATTTTCCCAAGTCTATTGAAAATCAAAACCTGGGTGCAGTGCTGGTGCCATGAACCCACAGTGCAGCCTTTCCTTCCCAAGGCACAAGAAGACTGGGATCTCTCTGTCTGCATTTTTCTGGGGCTTCTCATGGAAGCAGAAAATGCTAAAAAAATACCCTTTACTGTAATGACTGAGTAAATACAAGGAAAAAGCGGCTGAAGCTGTAACTGGCTAACTCTTCAGGCATATTAGAAATACTCCTGAAATCTGCTTAGGGACAGTTTGATTATGCAAAGAATCTCTTTTTTAAAAACTTGCTTAAAAAAATAGTAAATTTCAACTCCAGAGAATATTTGCCCAACACAGCATTCTTTTTCTAGAAAATAAAGGGTTTTTACTATCCTTTCCCTTGTAATTTCCCTCAATGGCTATGGACAAGACACTGTTGCCAGAAACACTTGAGCTGCTATTTGCATAATATTTCTTTTATTTAGCTATTGCATGTATGTCTATTAAAACACCTTCCTATGAAAAATGTTGTAAAGGACCTTTGGAGTAAATGATAACTCAAGTCCTACTTACTCAGTGCCCTGAGAGAGTCATAACACAAGACATTTTCCTGTAAAATTTAAAGGCTAAAATCCATTTCAGAAAACTTGTTGGCAAGTTCTCAGCCATAATGAAGAAAAACTCCTTCATTTAGATAAGCACCAGAAAAGTACAACCTTTTAGACATATTTATTTCACATCTATATAACAGGTAGTCCCAGGGGCACCACAGGCTCCCCTGACTCACTCCAGCTCAGACTTCATCAGAAATGGGACACAATGAAGATCTGTCACTTAGAAGAAAGTTAGAGGAAGTCTGTCCCCTTATTTTTCAAAGTTGTGTGTCAAGTGTATCTGTCAGAATACATTACTCAGTCCTGCAGATCCATGTGTTTGTCCACTGCCCTTCAGCAGTATCAGTCCCTAGCAGAGAGTTATAGGAAAAGCCACTGAGGAAGAAAAAACATTACAATTAATGTCAATTTGAGTCTTGTTAGCATTATTTTGTGTTAAGGAATGAGGTAGAAAAGAATGTTCCTTACTGTCACATTCCCTTTTGCATCAAACAGACCCCCAGTAAATGTTGCATGGAGTCCTAATGATTTCTTGCAAGCTGATGTTGCAAATGTAGTGATTTATTTCATTTGAAGGAAGACATGATGCTTCTGGGCACTTACCTGGCTCAAAAGACAAATTTTATTGATATAAATCACTAAGAACAGGTCATGCAGCTCTGGATGTGGCAGCCAAACTATTGGAGCTTCTTTGGGTAGTGGGAAGGGATCACTAGTTACTTCTTTTGGTCATGGGCTGCCACTGTTTTACTGTTAATTGGCAGAAAATTTTATAGAGCTGTTTAATTCTTTGGTACCACATTATGATTTCTTTGGTGCTCATCAATGGATACAAAATTTTAGGACCTATATTTTCTCTCGTTTTAAAGATTTTGAATAAATATTTGCATTTTGTAAGACTTTGAGTCTAGGAAAAGTTCCAGATCAGATATAAAAGCAAAGACAACATCCAGAGGCAGTGCAGAAATAACTGTCATGGTTGGGCACATTTTTAAGGGTCAAAAACTACACTATAGAAGTGTAGTTCAATATGATAAACAAGAATGTTTTTTTATCCTGTCATGACCCAATGCAGTATTTCATTTTCACCCTCTAATTAGTTCATAATTTTCACAGTTTTACTTTAGATTGAGAGCAATTTACTTTATCTTCTGACTGTCTTGAAAGAAAGAAGAAACACGTATCATAACTGCACCATGCTTATGTAGCAGCCAGATATTACTCAGAAAGTATTTTATAGCTTAATTTTTTTTTTCCTTAAAAACTCAAATTACTGTAAAATGGAGGTTTGGATAATCATCTATCTTTCATCTTAAATTCAGTCCATGTCTGCTAAGGAGGAGGAGGGAAAGGAATAATGCATAAGAAGTTTCTAACTTGCTTTTTTCTCCCAACAAAACTTAATATCACTGAAGGTGTGAAAGGGGCATCTGGATGTCACCTTATCAAACCCCCCAGCTCACACAGAGTACTTCTTATAAAGCTTGCAGTTACTATTTTATTGTAGCAGTAATTGAATATATACAATGTGAATCTGTAAGAGCACAGAGAAATTCTGTCACCTCAAAGGACATAGGCTCATGTAACATCATTGATTGTCATGTAATATATTGATCATTGATTGTCATGTAATATATTGACGTTGCACATTTTATTCCTGTGCAGAGGCAAAAGCTTTATTTTGTCATGTATAAAACATACCTGTACACTGGCACAGGTTGCTCAGGGAAGCTCTGGATGCCCCAACCCTGGAAGTGTTCTAGTCCAGGCTGGATGGGGATTGGGACAACCTGGTCTAGCAGGAGGTGTCCCTCCCCACGGCAGGGGAGTTGTAATGAGATGAGCTTTAAGGTTCCTTCCAACCCAAATCATTCTCTGATTCTGAACACACATATAGATGGAGACTCTCCCTTTTGACCTACTTCCCTTACAGTATCTGGTGCAGAACCCAATGACATTTGTAGAAACTTTCTTTGGCCTTTTTTAAATTTATTTTTTACATTTCTGAAAGTTTTTTTAATCTCACTTCCATAAATATTCATTGATGAGCACTTATTTAAAGAAGTGGATGAAAAAAGTGTCTTTAAAGTTGTCAGTTTCCTTCATAATCATGGGAAAGTCTTACATTATGCCACATCCTGTATAACAAAACCATATCCTTTTAAATTTAGCATATTTTTAATAAATTCAAATTAAATCTCATTCAGGACTATGGTACTTATACTTTCCATTTTTTCTTTTATTTTTTTTATTTAACAAGCAGTGTTTTAAAAGGTCCGCTATAGCTAGACAACTAAGGTATACAATAAACATTTTCAAAAAATTTCTAAGAACTGATTCTTTCACACTAACATTGTATTTTTATGATTTAAAGTTTTGTTTTCAACGAGGAAAATAAAAAGGTATAATATATAATAAAAATGCATAAATATTTTGTTATTTTAGAACACAAAGTAGAGCCACTATTTTGTGCCTGGTGCTGACTCAGGCATTGCTTCAGGGCATGGGAGGCCAGGGAAGCAGGGATGCTGTTGTGCAACACCCATGGCAAACACACCCAGTTCCACTCCCCTGGGGTTTACTCAGCACAGTCTCACACCAGGAAATTGGCATTGGCCGGTTTCAGAGCTAGTTTGGAATCTTCTTGAATTAGCTGGATGCATGAGCCTTTATTGAGATGGCATTTTTCCCCTAGATAATGATCCAAATCTTTTCCTCTAAAAGCCTCATTTGAGTTCACAGACTCCTGATAATCACACTATTCAAAAGGGTTTGTAGCATTGCTGTCATGGTAATATCAACCAAGGCATTAAAATAAAAACATTAAAATATTTTTCCTAAGATTTTTAATGAAGTAAAATTAACTAAACATCAGCTCTCATAATTCAAACAGAGAAAGCAGTATCAAGCGTGGAATATGTTTATTGTGGAGTGTATGATTGTATTTTTGAGGTAGAAGACTAAGCAAGATGAGGTCCTAACCCCATAATCATTTGATGTTATGCATATTTTTCCCCATATTATATTATTCAAGACTAATTGCAGGCAACTGGTTGCAGATTAAATAGCTTTGATTAAGTTATTTTTTACTGTATTTTAATTCAGAAAATTACAAGAATACTGGTTTGTCAGTCTCTTAAACCTTTCAGTAATTCTGCTTAGCACCACTGCTAATTAATTGTATTTGAAATGTAGAAAAGACAATTTATATCAATATTCATGTTGAACATTGAAAATGTTTTCCTTAGGCTGCTTACTTATATTCCTTAGTCATGGAACATTAAGATGTGGTATTATTTGCTATTAAATAATGTAATTTATGTTTAGTGAACTTACTGGACTTTTGGCCATGGGAAAATATATGCAGAAGAAATGTTTTATTTTGTGATTTTAATCAGGTACTACATATGCCTAATCCTCAGGACTGTTTATTCCAAATAATTTCTGAATGGTTCATTCCTAAACATTCTTTACTCTCCTGACTAACAGAAATCATAGAAATTAGAAAATTCTATTTTAGGATTAATGTTATTAATAAGGCTTAATTTTCTTTCCGTCAAGATACTCTCTTTAATGGCCTTGGACTTGGTGCTGTCATTGGCCTGGGAGTGACAGCCCTTTTGTTAATCCTGGTCGTGACTGATGTCAGCTGCTTCTTTGTACGACAATGTGGATTGCTCATGTGCATCACCAGGAGGATCTGTGGGAAAAAGAGTGGTTCAAGTGGAAAAAGTAAAGAATTGGAAGAAGGAAAAGCTGCTTATTTGTGAGTATTAATCACGTGTGTTGGAAACATCCTTAAAAGAAAAAGTTGGCTGTCCAACTGTCCATTAACTTTATGACCATTTTGTGGTTTTCTCAAAGGGAATTAATAAAATGCTTCTACTGCTTGGAAAAGTGTTGCTCTGAAGTGTGTAGAGTTGTTCATTGCCTTTAAGAGAAAAGTTGAGACACAAAAAAGGAATATACTGTAGCTCAGTTTAGAATGACCTCTTTGTCCAGCTTGACACAAAGGAAATCAATTGTAATTCATTACTAGTTACAGACACAGACTTGGTTCATGAGAAGCAGGTAATGGATGATTGTAACTCCATTTCTGCAAATCCATCTTTGAGCTGCTAACACCCAAAAACTTGGCCTATGGCAGTGCCAGTGCCAGTAAATCCAGGAGTGAAGGACATGGTATTATATAAAATCTGTGAGAGAGTTTTTCTTCTTAGATATAGCACTTGATGGAAAATCTTGATTCTTGTCTGTAGACTTTAGGAATGAAGAGTCTTGTTGATTTTTTTTTTTTTAAATAGGAGTGCTGAGTTGGATGTAGGTGAAATGGTGGTGAGTGTTGTTCACAGCAACAGTCAATGATTGCCAAACCTGAGTGGGAAATAAACAATACTGATTCTCACAAACATTCTTCTGTAGTGGCTACTCCATCACACAAATGTGAATGAACTGACCATGATGTGAAAATATGGTCTCTTGAATTATTAGTGTGGATAGTGACATCTCTGGCAAAACAGTTCAAGTACTGAATACATAAAATAATCACACTTTAGAGATGTGACACTTACTGAGCTTTCAAAAGGTAAACTGGAAAGATTTCTTATGGTCCTTCATTTTAAACATTTGCTTTTTTTTTACTAGAAAAAAAGCATAATTTCCTCATCCTGTTCATATGGTAGGCAACTTATACATGCAGTATAATATTTGTGAAAATGCTGTATGCATGTGGTTTAAGTAACATTTTTTGGTCGAACTGTTATGTGCCTCTCCCAATAGTCAGGCCTTCATTGTCTTCCAGCTTCCTAGATCCCATCCATCTGAAGATGGATGTAGAGCACACTACATCTTGCAGACCTCATTATTCATAGCTGAGCAGGTGTCTCCATTGCCAGTAGTGGTGGTGTAAGTGTCTTTTTGGTGTCTTTTAATTCTGGCTATTCGGTTTCAGGCTGTGTCTTTCTTAGGTATCTTGACTACACATCTTGGTTGGGTTCTTCTTGAAAAAGGTGGCATTTCAGGAAGAAATCCACAGAGCAAAACCAGTTGCAAGAGAACACAAGAATATTTATATCAAATAATGCTTCTAAATAGAAGTAGTGACATATAATAGCTGTTTCCTAATTCTCCACATCTGACAGTGAGACTAGCAGTGTTTTTTTCCATCGTGTGAAGACAGCCTGTCTGGATCAATAGAATCAAGAAGTGAAGCTTCTGGTGCTGACTCAGCTGTCGTTTCCTGTTGAGCACAGCACTTCAGTTTCTGCTTTAGTTTCCCATTCAAGGAATAGCCAAATATAAATTAGTGTACAGACTGTCCTGAATGGGAAGACCTTAGAGAGATAAAGTTGGAAATGTCACTTGACAGCAGTTTATACCTTGTTATCAACATCTTATAACCAAATGCCATTCCATGCTGTCCCAAAAAAAGCATCTAGCTGGTCTCTTGATATTAATTCTTCTGTTCCACTTCTTTCACAAGGACAGCTGTGTTATTTAATCATATTTCTTTCTTTATCATAGTGGTCTTCAGTCAGTCAGACTTTAAAATATTTGTGACAGTTCTTATTTTTGCCTGTTCTCTGCATTAATAAACTGTCAGACTAAACTTCTAGGACAGACTTGAAGAGCCAACATTTAAATTTATATCATAGCAAACTGATATTCCCTAAAATTCACTGACATTTAAATATGCTAGTTTGCATACTGAATTTTTGGATGGTTTATGATGTGGTGCTTGGTTACATTTTGATTGTAGGATATATATATATATATGTGTGTGTGTCTGTGTGTGTGTGTATGTATATATAGTAAATAATTATGTCCTATGAATGATGATGGTACAATCCATGTAATATACACACAGACACCCATGATATACTGGATTTCCTACAAATCGCTTTCCTTTTTTAGAATTTGAAATGTTACAGTTTGTACCTTCTGTAAATATACATGACTGCTGGTCACAAATAACAACTTTTTTAGTCCTTTTGTCATGCAATATTGTTTGTAAGACTATGGATGTATCAACAAACCAAGAAGAACTGAGAACCCATTCTCCAGTCCAACTTAGATCCCTAATCTTTTTCCAGGTATGAGGTAGCCATGAAAGTTAAGTGCATAATCTACCACAATGAGCTTTGTATCCATTTGTATATTTAAATGTCACTTGCAGAGATAAATAAGCACACACCGTTTTGGATTTTTTTTTTTTAAAGAGAGAGGAAATATCTTAGATTTCCACATATTCATTCTTCTCCACACTCTTTCTCTATCTGGGCTACATTCTTATTAACCTACAAAGATTTTCCTTGAGGATACCTGTCAGAGGATGGCAGAATTTTCCTGATACTTCCTTTTGGAAAATCCTGTTTTATCCATTATCTTGAAGAAACAATATGAAAATGTGAGATATGAATTAGAGAACAATTTAGCCAGGTCTTTGGTGTGGCCTGTAACAGTTTAACTTCCTACAGTTAGCTTCCTGCAACATCCCAGTCCAGAAAATAATCTGTTAAATATAAAAGTGACTGTTCATCTCTAACTCAGTTACCCTCTGTTTGTAGACTGCAGCTGATGCTGGTCCAGGATATAGGAAGAAAATATTTGCATCAAAAGAGGTTTTCTTTTTGTAAATATACATACACATACATATGTACATATGTACATATATACATATATACATATATACATATATACGTACATATATATACGTATCTTGGAGATCATCTGATCTGCCTTTTGAGACCAAAATTATATACAAGTTAATTAATACTTTTAGCAAGTTTTGTTAATTAGTATGTATTAATACTTTGTAGCAGTGAACAGGTATTTTCAGATCATGTCCACATTCCTGAGAACAGCCCTGCAGGGAAGGACTTGAGGATTCTGGTTCATGAAAAGCTGGACATGAGCCAACAATGTGTGCTCACATCCCAGAAACCAAAGGCGTCCCAGCATGACCAGAAGTTCAGGAGAGGTGATTCTGCCCCTCTTCTCTGGTGAGACCTCACCTGGAGCACTGCATCCAGCTCAGCAGTCCAGAGGAGGACACAAAGATGATCAGAAGGATGGAGCACCACTCTGTGAGGTCAAGCACAGATAAATTGTGCTGCTTAGCCAGGAGAAGCAAGGGCTTTAGCAAGATGTTTCTGCATCCTTTTGAAAGGGAGTTTATGAAAAAGATGGGGACAAACTTTTTACAAAGACAAGGAATGATGGTTTTGAATTGTGAAAGAGGGTAGATTTAGACTGGACATGAGGAAAAATCTATTTTACAATGAGGATGGTCAAACATTGGAACAGGTTGCCCAGAGAGGTAGTAGATGTCCCATGTCTGGGAACATTCAAGGTCAGGTTGAATGAAGCTCTGAGGAAACTGATTTTGTTGAAGATGTCCCTGCTAGATCCAGGGGCATTGGACTAGATGACCTATAATTCTCTCTTCCACCCCAAACTATTCTATGATTCTTCGGTTACCAACAAGATCATCATGACAATACTCACTGCTCCATGTCCCTTATAATTCATTGTCTAATCAGCACAATATTTATACATTTACTTGTGGGAGATTAGCAGTTGTTCCTAAAATAGTGGAAATATTATGTAGAAACAGTTTTTTCTACCAGAAAAAGGAGAAGGGCTTAGATTTTTACCACACAAGGGCTCTTTGCATCAATGGCAGCTGGGGCTGTCACACTCCCAGGAGATTAAAGCACACTTTTGTGGTGTATATACTCACATAATGGCTCTTTAACACTGCCAGAAAAGTTCAAGTATAACTAGGCATCAAGTCCTATCATTATTATACTACGTTAGGGAAGTTTACATCTATTCCCATGAAGAAGCTGTTGCCTTATTATTAGTCATAAATAAAATGCTCTTTTGAGATGCTAATGCATCATGTTTACAGAGTTAGGGAAGTAACCATGGATACAGGATGCTTTGAAGACTTCAAGGAATAGGGAACACTGTTAAATGTGTCTTGGTGGTGTTAGTCACTGATAATTAGTTCTGCCTTTTTCTTGCCAAATTTTCAGAGAAGGGATCCTAGTAATTTGTTATGTGCAATGTATGTAGTTAATGTGATGATAAGAGACTAAAACACTTTTAATAATTTTTAGGAAAGATGGATCAAAAGAGCCGATAGTGGAAATGAGAACAGAGGATGAAAGAATTAACAACCATGAAGATGGGAGTCCAGTAAATGAGCCAAATGAGACAACTCCCCTCACAGAACCAGAGTAAGTAGCCTGATATTCCCTGGCATTCCACACAAGCTGATCTTGGCTGTGTGGACAGACTAGAATTCCAGCACTTTGAGGGGAGGTACACAGCATCACCATAGTGGTCTGCTCTGGCAATGCAGTGTGTGAGTGTAGGGTTTGTTTGATTGGTTTGGTTTTTGCAATAATCGGTCTAAATCATGGTACTTCACTGACACTGGCTGAGCACAGCAGTACAGCGAATTTTTTATTTGGTCGCACCTGATCTTCACCACCTATCCAGCAATTATTAACTATCCTGTGGGAACAATCTCCTAACTCTCACAAATTACCTTAAATTGAGTCTCACGCACTCTTCACATGCATCCTGAAGATGGGGCACAAGGATACTGTGCTCCAGAAACCCAGCTCCTCACCAGGACCACTGGAGTGGCCCCTTCCTGCTTTAATACATTTAACTGAGAACTGAGTTCAGTATTTAAGTCCACACAGTGTAATTGGAGTAATCATGCTGAAGGACAGACTCTACTGTATTTCCTCATCCCCTCTTCCTGTCCCTGCAACCTTCTCTCAGTACAGAAACCACAGCAGTTTGCAGCCATGCTCACTGGCTGCCTTCTGGATAATGGGACCAGCCTTGTGTCCAGGGATGAAATTACTGAAGAAATGTTTAGGTTTTCTTTTCTTTGAGCCCAATACTTTTCATGTGTTGGGGAAATCTCCTACCTCATGACATCTTCAAGGCGTCAAGGCTATGAAGAGGATTATGCAGTAAATATAGAAATTTGCCTGTTGATAATTTCATAAAATTGTTGTTGTTCTTTAAAAGGAGAGGGTGTTCTTACAAAACAGTCCTTTTCTCTTCTGAAAATGCAAAGAAATTTCATTTTTTGCTGTTATGTAAAACTGTAAGAGCCAGAACCTTTAATTAAAAAAAAGGTTCGCTACCAGGTGACATTGATATTTATAGTAAATAGTGAGTGAAGTAGCTGCACATTAAGCTGTATAGTTCTTTGAAGAAGCTGTGCACAAAGAGTTTGAGCTTGTGTTAATGAAATAATTATGCAATCTGTTGAGTGACTACTGATATGTTTGCTCTTCATATTAGAATTTATAATCAGGGGCACAGTGGAGAGCCCACAATTATCTAAAGAGTCAGGGGAATGTAGCTGTAAACATTGTACAAGTCCAGCAAGCCTTGGATATGTTAGTGGGTAAAGCACCAGGTCCATGTTTGTTCATGATTCCAGACTATTTTTTGCACTAGATCTTGCAAATCAGATGCATCTTGTAGGAAACATGATACCAGGAAATATCCAGTTCACTTATTTTTGCTTATCACAATCATTAGATCAGCTGACAGGAGTGAAATATGAGGAAGTTAAAATCAAAAATATTTTATTATCTCAGGGAAGTGGGAAAGAACCAGTCCCCACTGTCATTAGGGAAAAAAAAAAACCCAACAAAAAAAAACCCAACAAAAAACCACCAATAAAAAACCCAAAAAAAATAAAGCACATGGACAACTGTGGATTTGATGGGCATTATGTCCTTGGAAAAATAAGACTGCAAGGAGATATTAATAATGATGGAAGTTTCCTTCTTGGTAATTTCTTTCTTAACAACCAATGGCAAAAGACATCAGCAGTCCAAGGCACAGCTGTACAGAAGTCAGCTAAAGCTTTGGGACAGTGTCACTTGGGAAACTAAAGATGAAAAGAGATGCTGCAATGGGGATACCTGAAGGGCCACTGGTACCAGGGGAGTATGGAAAGACCTTTGACTCAGACACAGGTCATACCCAATGAAACAGGGAAGCAATATAAAGTAGGAGTGAGAGGTACAAAGATCCAACAGAGTAGGAGTCAGTGTCTCAGTAGGAATATCACAAAATACATTGTCAACAACAGCTAGAAATACACATGCTGGGCAGGGTGAGGATGACCAGCAGGGATCTCCGAGGGGAGAGCTTAGCTTGCAGGGAAGAAAAGTTTCAAGGACATTTCAGGTGGGCAATAAAACAAGGTGGGATTCATTCTGACTGATTCTGGCAGTCTGAAAGGTATACAAGATAAGCCTTGAGGCTAAATTAGATTATATATTTTTAATAATTAATTGAATTATTTTGAATAACAGCAAATTACACTCAGAATTTCAATTGCAATTTAAGAAGCTGTGAGAACTAATTAGCAAAGAGATTACTTCTCCTTACAACAATATTCTTTATTATATTGCTCAGTATATTATTTGGCAAACTATTTTTTACCTTATCTCAGATGATCCTTGTCAAAGCTATGTTGGAATCCATGTGTGACAGATTAGCTCAAAGCACTTTACTGGCAAGTCAACAAGTTTTAATCATGCTGGCAGGAAATCAATTTAAGCTGTGCATTTTATATCACACTTTTGTAATATGATTAAAATACCACATGCAATGTGGTATAATAATTGTATTCTTAGTCTGACATTAATGTGTTTCTAGTATTGGTTGAGTTTTTATTAGTAGTAGTGCAGCTGGGTGAATTCCAGTATCAAAATGGTTAGGAGTAATTTTTCTATAAAACAAGAAAGTAAATATTTTAGTTATAGTTTTGTATGGGCATCAGCAGACTGTTTATGTTAGGCCACATGCAGTGCTAGAGAAAGTCAATTTTATTAATGATTGATATCAACCAACATCTGATTAAAGTGAAAGAACTTTTTGCTGGGTTTTTGTTGGCTTTTTAAAAAAAATATTTTATTATAAAATGAATAAAAATTTGAAAGGATTAGTCTGCGCAGCTGAAAAATATCAAATTCTTTCTAATAGATGTAGCTAAAGTAAAATTTGGTGTAGAAAAACTGGTATAATTAGAACACCTAAACTTTAATTAGTTAATTGAAAGAGGAAAGTGATTGAATCTATTAACAGAGATTAAATACGTATTTAAAACAAATGAAAACAAAAATTCCAAACCAACAAAAATGTCATGGGGGAAAAGAACAATGTCTAATGATAACTGCACTCATAACTCATACCCTATAAAAAAAAAAACCCAAATCACAAATTTTAAAATGCAATAAGGTTCAAGGATGGTGCATGGACTTTGTGATGAGGAAGGTTTTGATGTATAAAAGCTTTACTTGTGTGTAGCTTTTGTTGAGTTGTTGTTCTCTGCCTGCATGTAAAGCAAGGCTAATTTTATCTCAGTTTGCATGAACATGAATTTCAACGATGTCCAGTATCCTTCAACAGGATTCTAGCAAATCTTCCTATTTCAAATATTTTGTAACAAGGTCTTAATCCACTTAAACCAGTTTCTTTAAATTTCCACATGGTGTACTCTGTCAATTCTCCAGTTTTGCTGTTGACTAAATATTTCCTTCTTTCCAGCACCATCTTTTGAGAAATCACTCTGCTTTTCTTTAAACTATATGAAATTAGGTTTTGGGGGTTTTTTAGTACTTGTTTAAGTATTTTGCCTAATCAGATCTCTGACACACATGCCTGCTTACCAAAAATGCATGTCATGCTCTACCTCTGCCCCTGTGTTTTACCTTCTGTTAAAAATAGGTTTGTGTTGATTCTGTTGTTTCCATTCTTTCAGGTGTCTTGCTGTGGGGTGAAATCTGTTTCCTTTGGGTGTGCCATGAGAAACAGACAATTAGTAGATGCCTCCCTCTGTGCTCAGAGACAGACATCTGATGATACATCCCATATATTTTACTGTAGTAGAACAAGTTAATCTTTGATTTTTCTCAGCTACATGTTGTGCTCATTGTTTAACCTTTGGATAAACAGCATTTTTCTTAGTTCATTTCAGACAACTTAAATTTCATAAGACTGGGAATTCAGGTATTGTTTTGTTTTATTTGCTGTTATTAAACACTGTCTTGTAATGAGACATTCCTAAGAGATTCCTCAGACAGGTTTTGAACACTGTATTGCTCTTTGGGACATCAAAGCAATCAAAGCGGAAATTTACTGAAACATTTAACAGTTCTTATGAATAAAAAAGGCATAATCATACTATTCCCTGGTTAAAAAACAGAAAGCAAACTCAAACTGGAATCACAATTAAGAACTATTATGCCCAGGAGACATTATTAGAGGAACATCTCAGTAAACTATACATCTTTTTGACAGCTATATTTTTTGACAGCTAATTACCAGCAGTAGGGAATCAATGATTTTCAAGACCTTTTTCAGTGAGATCACATTCAAGAGGGTGGGGACTCCTTTGCCAAATCTTCAGAGTTTTCACTAATTCTTAAAAGTGTTGTAAGTTATTAATGAGGCTACATTGTGTGATCCATGAAAAATAAATTGTAGAACATTCTAAATAATAACTTCCATTATCTCCTTGCACTATCAGAAAGTCTTTACCTATGACTTGGCATAATCTCCAATAATAGCTGTGTTCTTTTGTGTACAATTGAATTTACATTTAGAAAAGACATAAAAGAAGAATTTAATCTAGATTTAAAAGTCAAGCAAAAAGCTTGACTCCAAGTGTTTCACAGTATCCTAGGCAACACATATTTCTGTACTCTCTTGGGTCAAGTAATTTGACATTTTGCTTTTTCATTTGTCTCATTGAAGAACTGCATTTTGGGCAGCACCAATGTTCTTATCATGGGATTTTTGTGGCTCTACAGAAGTGGAAAGTTAATATGATTTGCTTTAAAAGCAAAGAACCTCAGTGCTCATAATTATTTTCAAAATATTATTGTTCTTCAGTGTGACCTGTATAAATCATACATATGTTACTGACTTAAATTACAGATTGTTTTGTATAAATCATACATATGTTACTGACTTAAATTACAGATTGTTTTATTTTTGTGTTACCATGATTCATCTTTTTTTTTTTTCTCATAGGAAGCTGCCACTAAAGGAGGAAAATGGCAAAGAAGCTTTAAATCCAGAAACCATAGAAATCAAAGTTGCTAATGACATCATCCAGTCAAAAGAAGATGATAGCAAAGCATAATAAGATAAACTACAGCTGTCTGGATAATGCATTTGGATTGAAGTAATCCCGTGACCAAAACTTTACAGCTGACCTTAATTTCTTGGGAAACTTAAGCTTGGAATAGTTAGTACATGTGTACATATGATGAAACAGTTCCTGTCTACAGGTTTTTTCTATTTTTTTTGTTGTTGTTGTTGTTAATGGTTTTAGTATGTAGTTTTGCTGACACTAAGTCCCATGACATAAATCTGAAAAATCTGAACTACAGAACTATAAAAATAAGAACTATAATTTATTATATGACAGTGTGTCTGTTCAGAAGAAAAATTCTAAAGCACCCCTAATCACAAACAACACAAGGCCTCTTCTGATCTTATAGTGCAAGCTACATACATAAAATGCCATATGATAATGTATTTATTTCCATTTATAATAAAATGAAATTTTAGGTTGCCTTTAAAAAAAACCAAAAAAACAACTAAACCAGTCTCAAAATAATGTTTAAAACCTTAGTTCTGGCTGACACTCAATAGTCATTCCAGCTGTGATTATCACTTGAAGCAAAAAAAAAAAAAGAGACATAGTTCAACACAGAGCCAGGTCCCACTGCAGTTTCTCCTGGGTTCTTCGATTAAAAAAAATAAACCTGGTAATCACAAGTTACAAGCTCAAATAAAATTGGCTAAATATTTCACAACAGTCTATTTCCCTCATCCTAACTACATGAGTGTAACTCTGAAAGGCTCCAGGATTTTCAGTGCTTCAGGTTTTCTGTATGAAAGTTTTGGAGGTTACATGTGAACTAAAATGTAGCCAAGATGCAAAAAGAAATCTGATTTTTATCATAATCTTCACTTCAAATGAAAACATACAATATTTGTCCTTACATATTTATGCATACAGGGTACTAATTTTTGTCTTAGTTTAAAGCATTTAGCAAAGGGATAAAACTGTTTTAGTGAAGTAAATACATTTTCTCCCCCAGTATACAAAATATTAAACTTGGCCTTTTTTTGAAGCAGGACTTTTTCCTTGTGATTTCATACCCTTTGTCTTAAGAAGTACAATGTAAGAACAGATGGAAAGAGGACTTTGTCTAAGCAGTTAGGAACGATTTGAAATTATTAATTATTGCAATCTTACAGTCAACCAAATAATTTTTTTTTTCATGTAAACCTTTCTCTAAGATATTCCTTTTTATTATTCTGATCAACATTCTCCACCAGGAAATTTGACAGATTTATTTGAATTGAAATTCATTCATATGAAAGAATCATTGATTTAATGGTGCCACTAACTGGAGCAAGATTGTTTCCATTCCAGCATACCCACACCTACCAAACTCTTCAAAGCCTTACTTTGAAAGAAGTAGATAACTAGTCCAGAAAACTAGACTGGAAAATTCTACTTGTTGGGAGTAAATGGTAGAATAAGTTTTGAATTCTCCACATCTAAGCCATGCCTGAGGTTTAAGTGAGGTTTTACTCAACAAATTGTGTTTTCTACATGCTATATCTGAATTTCAATCATATTTGAAGTCTTTGTACTAGATGACTTTTGTGCAGTAAAACTGAAAGTGAAATGTAAAAGGATATCCTTAAATTTGAGGAAAATATCATGATAACCTTCTTGTGAAACCAAGTTTTAGTGCATTTGAAAGAGTTGAGGACAATATATTTAATTCTTAGCTTTTTCTTATTTTTCAAAACCAAGTTGTTATATTTTTTTTAATATTTTTTCTCACATTGGGAAATACCTAAAATGAACCAAGAAGTTGAGAACAGAGGCATACCGGTGGTTTGGCTAGGATAGGAGGCCAAGTTCCCACAAAATAAATACCAAAGTGAAAAAATAGAAAAGAGGGGATGGTGATATGGGATGAAACTCACAGAAGATAATAATTAAAAACTGCTGAAAATAAATTTCTCCAAATGCTGAGGCACTAATTCTGGGTGAAGGGAAGATGAAGACATTCTTTTATGAAATCTCAGTGTTGCTCCCATTTACTGAGCAGGCAGTACTACCAATTAGCTGTTTGTCTATCAGATATCTGATAATTTCTAATCAGATTTCCTGATTCATTCTAAGTACACAGCAAGCAAGCCTGCTCCTAACCTATAATTAGGAGAGCAGTTGTCTCATTTATCTATATGGATTTATATTCTTTCCAGAAAGTATGTATTTGCAGCTGGGCTTTCTTCTTCTGTCACTATGCAAAAAAGGGACCTGGACAACTCCAGCAGTTAAGAATGTGATTGGTGTGACTTGAACAGCCTCTCACAAAATATTTTTACTGGGATGAGGATGAAGATGGTAGATATTTTTCTCTTCTACCTGCTGTGACAAATTTGGACAAATTCCCTAGGAAAATGGTGTTTTTTCTGAAGTCAGCCTGATCATTTCCACAAGAAGGTGCCTATACAGTGCAGCAGAAATAACAGTGTGTAGGCTCTACTGCAGATGCATTTCAAATTTTAGTACTTCTTAGTTTAACTTCCTCAAAAAAAAAAATTTAAAAAAAAAATAATCATGGCCTAACGGTTCTATATTGGTAGGTTTTTTTTTTTTTTGTTTTTTCCTCTCTGATGTGGCCTCTCATTACAGTGTGAAGGGTTTAGAAGATTTAAAATGTCTTGTCAGCACATTTATTACTAATACACCTGTGCTACTATTTACAAGCAAAATATACTGCAGTATTATTTCAATATTGGAAGCAAAAACATGTCCCATATACTGGATTACAAATCAAAAGCTATTTCCTGGAGTATTTAATTTCTTCTTGCTGTTATGTCTCTTGGCAGCTGGGCTGTGTGAGGGCTGATAATGAAACAGCTCTAAATTTCTGATGGACTGTCCAAGCACACCTTTTTGGTCCGTGGATTAATAGATTATCTCTTATGCTTTGACTCGGTTGCAGGAGAAAACCAAACTCTCACTATGAAAGAACACCACTGGTATTTCAAAATATTTCCAAATGAGGGACAGCACATTATAATTTGTAAGATATATGTAGAACTGGAATAACAACATTTGTTTATTTTCTTTTCCTATTCTAGATTTAAAAAAAAACAAAAAACAACAAAACAAACAAAAACAGCTATCTGTATAAATGTCACTTTTACTGTCTAAAAGTAATTTTAAGTGTTAGTATGAAATGTCAGAAGAGTTGACAAAATATAACTATTTGTAAAAGTAATCTGAATTGTTACACTAACATACTCCAGGGACCAGGGAGGGAGTAATTGAAATTAATACTGAACAAAATGTGGCAGTGACAATGTCTTTTCAACGACAAAAAACAAAAAAAAAAAAAAAGGAGTACAATTAAATAAAATTACTTAAAGCTCCTTGTTATTTTTTTGATTTTTTTAGTAGACCTATGTTCGGATTTACCACAATAATAACAAAGTTTTAATTAGTATCTTACAATTCAGCAATCAAATGTACCCTGGAGATGTCTTTTCCTGATTTTGTTTGCTTATTTGCCTTTTTTGACTTCTAAGATTTTTTGTGGTTGCAGAAATATTTACTATTCTGGTGATGCTAATGCCTAATGTGACAAAGATTAATTTATTCAGGCCTCAGTCTAGCAAGAAATTTTGTGTCGTTGAACCCACCCCTTACTGACATTAGTGGGGTGGATGTGAGTGGGAAGATGGATGTACATGCATAAGACAACTTGCAGGATTGGGCCTACTTTCTATCTCTTCATAGATATCTACAACATAGTTACACCGTGGCCATCATCTACAAAGGCTGTTTGACATCTGTCCCTGGTGCAGTAAATTCCAACTGCTGTCTTCAGCCTCTCCATCAATGTTCATCCAAAAAAAGTAGCTTTCTTTTTATGATGGTAATTAGTTTGATTATTTATTTAAGTACCAATCATCAAACTGTAGTATAATCATCATGCTATTTTTTCTGTTTCCTAGACCAGATCATGGAAATGTATTTGTGCCTTTTGATAGCATGCCACTCTGCTTTATTAAAGAAAAATCTTCAATTATTTGTCTACAAAGCCTGTTTAAAATAATTGAAAGCTTTACTGTCACATACTTTTCTGCTCAAATATTCTCAATTATTCATATAAATTAAACTGAAGGTAGTATTTTAATTTTCAAGTCGTATAAATATTTGAAACACAAAATTTGCAAAAATCTATTGAGATCATGATTCCAATGAGGGTCATGGTGGGTGTCTTACTGATGAAAAGTTTCAAATAGATGGAGAGCATGGTGGATGTGTAGGGGTGTTTTGACCAATTTCTCAAGTTGAAGAGTCAGATAGAAAGTCTCCTTAGTTCTATTTAAGTGCTTAGATGTAAAACTTTCCTCAAATCTGAAAGATGATATGGAGCATCTTCCCACCATTTTACCTCTGGAGTAAAACTGGAGAGAATGTTCATTTCGCAGTCATTTGCAGCCTCACCATCACTGTGTAAGCTGTTCTAGGAAGTTACATCTTTGCAGAATAGTTGTGTCTGTTGGATGATACTCACTCCTGATTAAAGGACCTCCAAAAAGACCATTTACTGAGAATGGCTCAAGACCTCTTTGGTCTGTGGAGGGGTGCTAAGAGCACTGCACAAAGAGTCACAGCTTTAAGACACAAGCTGATTCCAGCAGGACCTGGATTTCATTCTTCCATCTCAGCAAGACTCTGCATGTCTTCAGCTGATCAAGTTGCTTGTGTGAATCAGATCTCCAAACTCAAATGTCCTGCCAGGCTCCTACTGACATTTTGCTCAGAGGAGGTTTTTCTATCATGAGTTTTTTCAGTAATCAGGAAATGGTGATAGAATATCCGATGACGGTTTTATCCCACACATTACTATATGTCTAGAAATAAAACATCTCTTTAAATAACTCATTGTGATTGCGATACTTCTTTAGGTGAAAATGAAAACATTCTAAGTAAATAATGCTCCTTCTTAAACCTCTTTGTTTAGCTTCAGATAATCATTCTGATAGATGAAAAGTTACCATGGTTAAATAAATCTTTTTAAAAAATTCTTCACCCCTTTTTCAGACTTTTTCATATGACTTCTTGAGGTCCATTGATAGCAGTTCTGTAACTTTTAAGTGATCTTCATTATTCCCACTGCACATATAAATGTGTTCTTATATCAAATTACATGGACCTGAGCCAAAATAAGCCTTATAAATTTGGCTTTGGATCAGGTTCTGAGAATTCTCAGTTTACCGGTCTGTTTTTTCTCTTAAGAGGCATTGAGTGCCTCATAATGTTTGACTTTCAAACTTGAATATTGGCCATTTTTAGCCCAGAGAAATTAAATAAATATTTATTGCCAAATTTGTATTGGCAACTTTTAAGCCACAGGTGAGATCGGGAGCGGGCGAGGTGACCAGATGCAGTGCCGACAGAGCTCAGGAAAGCAACTGCCAGAGAAAACAGGTGCCAAAGAGCGAGCCAGGAGAGGGCTGGGAGCATCTCTCCTTAGCACTGACAAGGGAAATGGGGAGCAACTGAAGCAAGAGAGGCTGCTGAAGGGCACTGCCAAAGGCAGGGTAATGAAAGCTCTTAAAAGCAGAGGAGAGGGGATGTTAACCCTGCCACATCCTTTAACTCTCCCATGTAATTAAGCTATGGTTTTTCAGATGTAAAATGCAGGGTTGGAGGAAGGCAAGACAAACCCTCAGAGTCTCTACAGATCAGTGACAAACATACAAAGGAGTCAGATTCCCCCAGAAGATAATTTTATTTTTCATGGTGTAGAGTTCTCACTAAGAATTTTGAACTACTTAGACAAGGTTTTAAAAGGAGAAAAAAAGCTTTCCTGCTACAATGAGCACTCGGTACGTATTTGTATGCTGTGTACAGTATGAGCTAAAGCATACCATATATTGTTTTTGTTATTCCACACGTTGTCAACAGCCCACTTGCGATATCTGCCACCTGAATTATATATTGACAAGTTAGCTACCACTGGAGCTAGTTTGTTTATTGTTTCAGAATCTTATGTCCCTATGAAATGCTGTGTGTATATATATATCTCTCTATACTGTAAAAAGAAGTAATATCGCAGATGCTGGTTTTGTATTTATGAAAGACATTGAAAGTATGGCTTAAAGTATATCAATTATTTGTCACTCTTCACCATTTGTATATTAATAGTAAAGATACTTTTACTTTAATGAAGTGTTGTAGTTACATTTATTTTTGCTAAGTGTCTTTCTATCAAGATGTCTGATTAATTAGGAGTCTCATTTCCGAAAAGAAACCTACCCATTATTTTACCCCCATTATAGAAGTACTGAATCATGCTCACAGAGACCTGCAATTTATTATTCTCTTTTCTGTCAAAATACATCTATTGTTATCATCCTGAGTCTCCAGCTGAGCTTGAGGCCCATTATCATCATCCCCAATAGATAATGTGCTGATAGATAATATTCCAGGAGCTGGGGAAAACAGGTTGGGCGTAGACTGCAATGAAATAAGCTTTTACTGCAGTGCTGGGTTTTATTCCACTAAGATGGAAAATGGGCAAAGCCCAGAGAATATAGCTCAGCCACTTCACTGAAATGGCAGAGGGATGCCTGTGGCATGCATTTTACAACCAATAAAATTAAGTAACCCAAGAGAAACTTACTAAATTGTGTATTCATGCCTAAGAATCAGTTTTCTAAGTGTAACCTCAGCTCTAAAAAACCACACCAGCCTAAGAATGGAAGGGCAGTACATAGGAGAAATGTTTTTTCACCCAACAAAGTCTTCACAGCTGCATCTTCTTCCTTCCACAGATCCTTAAGCTCTGCATTGCAGATGTCGTAGGCATGTGCTTCCCTAAGTGTCAGTGTAAGCATTAACAATTAGCAAAAATGTCTCTTTCTATTGAAAAACTGAACAACTGAACAAGAGGGAACTGCTTCAGTGTCTTCTCAACATCAGCTTGACATTGAAAGCTTTTCATATAATCATGTTTCTTGATCATAAAAAACCCCAGACATCCTCAAATGATGCACAAATTTAGTTCAGATCTCTTGAGAGGCAATCACTTCAGTGCACTGGCCACAGGAGAGGTTGCCTTTTTAATTTACAGGTGAGTATTAATACAATTATTGCAAATTGCTGCTAACAAAAAGGTAATGTATGATATGTTCAGAAATGGATTCAACTTTTTAAAATTTAACCTTGTCAAAACCTATCACGCTCTCACATGCCTCAGACATGCTACTCAAAATACAGGACAAAAAAATTATAGTCAGGTAATGACTATTGAAATATATATATATCAATATGTCAATATATCTATCTATCTCTCTATCTATATATATAAAATTATCAATGTATAGATATATTACATATTATAATGTATAAATATCTATTTCTATATATTTCTATATAATTTTTATATATCAGTTTATAATAATATATATTGATATATAATGACTATCACCTTGATAATGACAATTTGTTTATCTGTGTCATTCCTAAATTAGACACAGCTAGCACTGCACCAAGAAAACCCAAACAAAAGGGCAACAAAAGTGTTACACTTTGATTCTTGGCAAAAGATGAACTCTCTGATTTGAGCCCTAGCAGATCCTGAAAAACCACCTGTATTTGTAAGCTCATTCCTAACTGGAAAATGCTTATTTTTGGGTATATTGATAAAATATCTTTTTTGATTTATTCAACACTTTCTAGACAAACCCAAACCTCTAAACTGAGCATAGTGTCAGACTTTAATTTCTATAAAAATCCTTTATATAGCAAAAAAATACAACTGTCTTTGGTTAAACAAAGCACTGAAACCCATTCACACTCAGTGCCGGTATAAAGCAAAGTCAGTGGTGTTGCTGACAAAGCAGAATGAATCACAACTGGCAGGAGAGTGATCAGGTGAGACACAGTTGTAGAACGCTTTCAGGCAATCTGATGATAAAGAGAACAAAATGTTTGGAATTAAAAATAAAAGCTTTTTTCTACTAAGCAAATGCCATCTTTTAATACTGAACTTGGGTGGGGATGATAAAAGATATCGTATTATTTTAAAATTCAAAAAGGGGCTTCATTGTCATAGACCACAATATGATGAATAATTTTTACTTTGACACTTATTTTTATCATAGATCACAGGAATAACACTTCATCATTAACTTGTATCTGATGGCCTAAATAGTTTTTAATCACAATAAATAGAAAGTTGCTGGGTACTGCTATACATTTTCTAAAGCCATCAGAAATAAACATCAGAATTTTTTTTTAATAATTGTGTTCAAACTGATTTTTGAGTTACAGATACCTTTAAGAAAAAAAGGATTTGAAGAAAGTAATGAACTTACACGTAG